CACACACACACACACACACACACACAGGGAGTCACTGGCCTTATGTACGCTTTGTGACCATTCCTACGCCTTTCCCACGCCAGTGCTGAACTTTGGACTGTAGCCAGAACATTTCCTTCTCAAGTCAAAGTCAAACATCCCGCCTTGTCCCGCTTACAAATATTTGCTTGATTTTTAAAGGATTATGCAAATATTTAACAAATAATTAGCCAATCTGGACTTTAAACACCTAAATAAAAACAAAGTATAAAAATCCACCACATACAGTTGTGGTCAAGATTTTACAGGCACTCCAAATGGGCATGAATTTAATACTTTCTTTGATCTGTTGTCTTCCTAGAATAGATCTTGTAATAACCTTAAAAAGCAAAAATTGATTTCCTCTAATACACACATGGTCAAAAGTACACATGCAAGCTCCAATATATACATAAACTCACATAAATCTTTTAATAAGTAGTACTGAAGGTTTACACCGTCTTCTAATTTGACTGGCCTGAGGCTTATGAACTTTACTACTGATGTGACCTTTGATTGGAAAGTTGCAACACAGAAGATTAAACAGTCCATCTGTCACTGACATCGACAGACAGAAAAGGCCCGTCAGTTTATTTTCTCTTTGGTTTTGTTTCCTCGTCAGAAGATTACTCACTGGGATATACAACAATGTGAACGCGTCACAATTTACGCATGAGCAACAAAAACTCAACAACTACTCTCAGTGAGTAATTTCTGAGTAATAAGGAAGAACACTGATTACATTGGCCCTGTTTAAAGCAGTCCTGTACACTTGAGGACAGTAGCTGAAATCAAATTCAGCAGTTTTATTTAGTGCCAGTCAACAGTCATCTCATGGCATTTTAAATCGTTATGTAAAGACTCTAATAAAAATGACAACAAAAGGTGAACATGGAGAAATGACTTAATAAAACCCTGACCAGTAAAAGATGGAGACTTTTAAAACTAAAGACATGTAATGTTCCAGATCCTGACATTATTGTTTCAGTGTCATTCACTTTCGAGTCAAATCAGTGTGCGCCACTTTTGAAGAATAAAGGAAGTATGCTCACAGTTTCAGGAAAATTGTTTTATATCTGCTTTAAACTTGCAAGCAATAACGCCAATGTTATTCATAGCTTCTTTTTTTTTTCTTCTTCTCTTCCTTATGCAGTGTGTACCAAGGGTCAGGCAGTAAGCGGTCAGTATCGTATGCTGGCTAAGAACGGGGGTTACGTCTGGGTAGAAACCCAGGGAACTGTCATTTATAATAGCCGCAACTCTCAGCCGCAGTGCATCGTGTGCATCAACTATGTCCTCAGGTAAGAGTCTTCATTTTTAATCCAAGTTTCCCTCAATTAAATGCCATCTTTGCCTGGATTTAATCATAAAATATTCAGATTTCTATATCTCAAAGTTCAAATTTGCTGTGTTTTCTTCAATCTGTAGTGACATTGAGGAGAAGTCGATGATTTTGTCCCTGGGGCAGACGGAGTCCCTGTTTAAGCCACGACACATGAGCAGCTTCTTCAGTCCTGGAGTGGGCATGAGCGGAGAGCCTGGAGATGCCCTCTTCAGTAAATTCAAAGAGGAGCCGGAAGATCTCGCTCAGCTTGCTCCAACACCTGGAGACACGATCGTTTCTCTCGACTTCAGTCAGTATTTACTTCTGTAAAACTGTGTCTGTTATGGTCACAGTATTCTTCCACCTTACTTTGGCAAAAACAAAATAGCAGAAACAACTTTTTAATACAGTTTCCTTTTGTCTTTTTTTAAAAAATTGGCTCAAATTTGTGATTCTTTTTCACAGGTCGTGTTCAGTTTGAAGAGCCCCAGCAGCCAGCATACTCCCAGGTGTCTGTTTCAGCCATGGCCCCTCCGGGACCACCGTCCTGGGCCAGTGAGAGCCACAAGTCTGCCTCCAATGCCTCTGGACCCCCAACTGCAGCTCCAGGGGACGTGGGTAAAATGGCCGGTGGTTCGTTCACTGTGCAGCAGAATCCTCCACCGGGCAGCGCCACTCCGAGCCTCAGCAGCTGCTCCACGGTGAGGACAGCGCGACAGGGCACGACTGAGAGCCAGTTTGTGAAATTGAAAAGAGTAATTAGTTAGTGAGCGAGTGACTGGTTGGTTACACTTGTTCCATGGTTTATTCTTTCAGTGTGCGATGAGGTCACTAAAACTGGGCAGAGTGTGTGAGAATAACGGGGGTGGTTATTTGGATGGAATAGGCTCGTAGCAGTGAATAGTGCCTTTGTCAAAACTCATCTCTCTTGTTTCTCTTGTGTATTAGTCCTTTTTGTCTGTGTTTATCATTTTCTTTCTCTCCACTTCTCTCATTCAAATCTAATTTCTTCCTTTTGTTCATCCTTCCCTCTGTCCTTCACCTCTGCAGCCCAGCAGCCCAGATGATTACTACAGCTCAGTGGAGAGTGACCTGAGGGTGGAGCTCACAGAGAAGCTGTTTGCTCTGGACACAAAGGGAGACAGTTCTGCAAACACTGAGGTGTGTGTGTGTGTGTGTGTGTGTGTGTGTGTGTGTGACCAAAGTTGTGTAGAGTTAGTGAATTTTATGTTAACTCAGACAAACAAAGAAAAAAGCCTGAATTAACCAGCTCAACATATGTATTCTGTATCATTAGCTTTTTAATTTACTGCTATAGTGTCTTTGACCTTTAGCTTATAAATCTGTGAGAAAAGCATCCAGGGCATTTTCCATTTTATGTTAGTATTTCTTCAATTTAACGAGTGCTGGATTAAACAAAACTATAAATCAGTGGTTTACATATTTGAGTGGCTGCTGATAAAATATTAGTGCTCACAATGATGTTTTTATTATTGAGTTCCTAATGTAATCATCATAATCCTGTTAGTCTAAACTGAGTGGCAGTTTATGAACACTGCAGCATTATCTCAGCCACAAATACTCACATGTCTAAAGCAATAATTTATAGTTTTCACCAAATGCTTAAAAGGATCTCTTTTCTTAAATATTTGTGTTGAAAAAACAAAACAAAAATTATTTCTGCTATCCAGAGGGACTTGAGTGATTTGGACCTGGAGACTCTGGCTCCTTATATCCCTATGGATGGAGAGGACTTCCAGCTCAATCCCATTGTCACAGAGTCAGAGGCCCTGGAGGCAGCTCCAGCAGGATCCATGGGGAGCAACACCAGCCTGCCCCAAACTAACCAGACCACCCAGCAGAGTTTCAACAATGTGGCCAGCCTCTTACAGCCCCTGTCCACCTCCTCCCAATCCCCAGGCCACTACCAGCGTGCGGCATCTTCATCCTGGGCTGGAGGGGAAAAGAGAGTCTCCAGCCAGGGGAATGCAGATCCCCATGGAAGGTCATACATGATGGGGCATCTGCACAATCCCCCATACCAGGCCCCAGCCAGCTCCCCGCTGTCCTCCATGGGTGGCAGTCAGAATCTGCAGTGGCCACCAGACCCGCTGTTGACTTACCAACAACAACCACGGCCCACCAAAGCCTGTCTGATGGACACGATGTTGGAAGAACGGCCATCCTGCAAGCAGAACATGCCACATGGCATGCAGAAACAGAGGTGACTTAACTATGAGTCTCTTATTTTAGTGCTCAAGGAAAATTTAACTTGATGCATATAACTGTGAAAATATAAGACTAAAAGGAATAAGGAATAAAAACCTTAACAACATGATTTAAATAAAAAAAGGGTGTTGACCACCAAATTCTCTTTATTATTGCCGCAATTATTTATTTATTTATTTTTTTTCTTCATCCACTTTGTGTATGCAGGTCCATCGACAACTTTGTACAAGCTTACAGAGACATGAGTCCAGCCAGAGTGGCCATGGCCAACAGTATGAAGCGCTCCTTCAGCCAGATGGCTGTGGTGAGTTCCTCCGACTCCTACCGTACAGCAAAAGTTCCACTGCAACTTAAAGTATTCAGTGTAACATAAAGCATTATTTTGAGGCATTAGTGTTCCACGCAAGATTGCATGTTAGTTTCCAAACCACAATTTAAATTCTTGAGTCTGATAGTTTGCCTAAAAAAATATCTGCATGCACAACCTGCTAATCAATTGAGTATGACTGTTTCAGGGTGAAAGCAAGCTGCCAGAGTTCATATGGAAGAAGATAAGGAGTGACAGTTGCATGGATCGTTCCCTCTGTGCAGGATCACTGGCAGGTATGCTTGTGCAGCAAATGGATGGAAACCATGTTTTATCATCTCTTCCACGCATCAGCTGCACCTTTTTAACCTCTCGCTCTCTTCTCTCAGAGTCGGAGATGGCGAGAATGATGCCAGGGAACATGGCTCCATGTCTCAACTCGCTGCAACAACACAGGAAGTCACTGTACGCAGGAAATGGGATAAGTGGTCGAAATGAAAAAGGCTTTCCCCAAAAGAGCTGTGACTACAGAGAGTATAACATGCTGCCTTCTAACAAGTGTGAGGGTGAGCTGGAATTACTAACATTTACAGATTTTAGTCAGCTAATATCACTGTGTGGACAGTTAAAGCACTCATTTAGTCTTCTGTTTAATTTAAAGTACTTTTACGTTGCAGAATATATGACTCAGCCATTAACATCTTGCTCTGACTAAATCTACTCATGTCAAGTGGTCTTCTAATTCAAATAAACAAGTAAATCACTGACACACAGGGATTTTCTTTATTTCTGTCATTTTCTAGGCATAGCCAGTCGTTTGCTGGGGCCTTCATTTGAACCCTCCTTTCTGCCGGAGTTGACCCGCTATGACTGCGAGGTCAATGTCCCGCTGCAGGGCAACCTGCACCTCCTCCAGGGCTGTGACCTGCTGAGAGCCCTGGACCAGGCCACCTAGAGCCCCAGATTCAAACACCGACATAAACCTGGACTTACTCCCTGCCCTGAGCCTCAACCTGCAGCACGAGACTTAAGCCTTTCTTTACCTTTGTACCTCTAGGCCTTCTATGAGCCCTAAAGCTCAGCTAACTATAGAGAATGGTATTAATGGCCACATCCTGCCTTATTTAGCCCCACACTCTTTTCCCCATCCCTTTTTAAGTTCTCTGTGTAGATCAAGCTGAGTTATCAGGGTCAAGCCACATGCACCCCTTTCCCTGCCAAGCTCTTGACTCATATCAGATGCAGGTTGACCACCATTGAGCCAAACATCAAATGACCCGCATGTATAACAAACGATCACTGGTCAAAAAGAAAAGGTCAATGCTGCACATTTAATACATGACAATGGTCACACCATCACATTAATTATTTAAGAGTTTTGACACTGGGATCTCACCGGGTTTGGTATAGATGCCAACAGGGTGGCAAAGCTATGTTTGAAAACACATCCTGAACTCGGGTCTCTGGTGTAAAGGGGTGTTAGTGGTGTGGAAGAAAACCTTCCTCAAAGGCCAGCTCTGCTCAAACATCTACAGCCACATCACCCTGACTACCAGCCGATTCCTGCTTAGGTTTAGCAAAGCGGGAATCTGTGAGCAGTGGGTCTCTGACCTACGTCCTGATATGGACTCTATGCAGCTCAGATCCCAGCCCTACTGCTCTTCTAGCTAAAGCATTTGGCTCAGAAGAGAAGATCTTATACTACCTACACATGAACAGAGACACGGTCTTCTTTCACATTTGCATGTTTTACCAGCAACTTGTAGACACGGCGCAGTTGAAGCTTCAAGCAAGAGTTGGGTATCATGAACTGTGGTAAATTGTAGCCATTTTAAAGATTTCTTAAGAATCCTTTACACTATTGTATTCTCATTATGGACACCCAAAGATGATTTCTTTTTAATCATAGTGGTGCAATATGCTGGACTGGAGTACTTTACAGTGTGGCCAGATGTAATGTTGTAACTTTGCGGTAATCTGTATTAATTTCATTTCCTGTATGCCCAAGACTTAAAATATACTCCAATTTAAGTATTATTCTAATCTTTAGAGAATTAAAGGTTGCTTTATTTGAAAGGCTATGACCAGAACCAGAACTGCCGAGCAGAATCGGAAGCGGTAAAAGTGATACCCAGCCTTGCTCAAGCCTTATCCACATATTCACATTCATCAGCCTGTCTCGTTTTGTCTGAATCCATCCCATAAATCACTGTAGCATATCTCTGCTGCTTTAGTAGATAAACTAGTAGCATTAGATCTGTATGTTTCAAATGACATATCATTATTGTAAATAGTCTTTTCTTCTTTTCCTGAATTGAGATATTGAAGCTTTTATGAAACTCCCCCAGTTTATTCAATCCAAACTGACCGGACACTTCACCACATTAACACTGCCTTTTCTTCTTCTTCTTTAGTTCTTACTCAACGTACTACATTCTCTTATTTTCTCTGTCTCTCACTCTCTCTCTGACACTGTAATAAACATATTGCAATATATGTAATCTGAACATTTAAGATTTAACATCTTCATCTTAAATCTGTCTAAACACGCTTTCCTCACTTTAGTGTCTCAGTCAGGTAAGTAGCTTGTGTGGATACAGGGTTATTTTCTTATTGTGCAATTATTTCATTGAGCTAAAACTTAGATTGTCAGTAACAAAGCTAGACTTTATGTACATAATCAATAGCCTGCACAAAGGAATGTGACATGCACACACTGTAAGAGTTCATATGATTAAATGTTATTAGCAAACACACATTTTATGCAATACAGGAAACTATAAAGACCAGACCAGTGGTGTGCACAGACTATGAGGGGACCAGGGACTGTTTGAAAAAGGGGGGCACCTATGTGTGGTGGGGGTGTTTTGGTTTCGTTATTGTCCTGCACCTGTACTTGGGGAAGCTTTAAGAAAAAGTTTGCATGATTTGCTGAATCCTGTCGTGCCACGGTTTTACATTTAGTTTGAGACACTTATTGGTTTGAATTATGTACAGTGCACAACAAAATTGTTAGCAGACAAGCTGTACAATCATTGTAGGAAGCACAGCTTGAAAAAGAAATGTGGTTTGCAGAATGCTTAGAGAATGGTCAGGCGGTAAAGTATGTGAGATTTGTCACTGGTATGCTCTTTTAAGCCAACTGGAGAGCATTTGAGCCCAACACAGGGGGCACTTGGGCTAATCACAAGTGCCGTGGGAGGGATCAAAAGGGCACTTTAGCTGATCAGGTGGGCACTTGAGCTGTCTAGACGGGCAGCTGAGGGGTGTTTTTTGGGGGACCCAGTAGAGCCGAAATAGCGCTTAGCTTAAGCGGCTCTAGTAACCTCTGTTGCCCCTTGGTGTTTTATTAGGGCAAAAGATCATGATTGGATGTCGTCCCCCGCCCCAACCTCCTGCGCACACCGCTGCACATAACAGACAGGGTAAAGACGGCAGCGTTGACATGATCACTTACTCATTCAGACAATGCATATGTACATAGCAGCAGCCATGGTTTCAATGCAGTACAGCAGCCTGTGACATGACTTGAAAGTGGAGTTTATATAATTTTCTTAAAGATTAGGACAAGGCCAGTTTTTCTTTACTCACAAACCAAGTGGCTGCCAGTTACAGAAAGCTTTAAGGCTTTGATTATTACTTGCCATAAGAGCAGATTTTGAAACTAATTTTTCATCCAAACATTGTCAGTATGTCTTCAGTGAAATACAGTTTTTCTGTTCTTTCCTCTCAAAGTATTTTCTTAAGCTCAGTCTATATTTTTGAGGTAATTGTTTCTGTGTGGTGACCACTTTGAGCTTTGTACACATATGTTATGTATTTAAAACAGAACTAATGTTAAAGATGGTGTTTTTCGTGTTTGTGTCCTGGTACTTTGTCCTTACCTTACCCCCCCATAGATGCAGTTAGAGCCAGGCCCTCACAGTGCTGTTTCTTCTTGTGCTGTTTCTGTGTTGTGGTGGCATTTTTTTTTTTTTATTCTATCCTAAAATATCCATGGAATCTGTTGGCTGGCCAGTACTGTTGTTGTTCTTGCTTTAAAAAAAACAAGAAAAAAAACCCCAACAAAACAAGAGGTAAATATCAGTTTTCTAAGTTTCACTTTTCAGATATGTAGCATTTTGAATATTGTAAGGAAGGTGAAGTTGCCACATTGTTAATCACATAGTTTTCCAGTTGCATATATAAAAGCAAAAGGTGCTTCATAGACATTGTATCATTGTCATTTGTAGAACTTTTATTACATCTCTTGGATCCACTAACACTGTATTTTGATGTTCTCCGCCTGATGTGCTCAACTTCTTTCAAGTTCATTTTAATCATTATGATGTGCCTTATGACTTTATGGTTGTCTCAACATACCGAGGTCACCCTTCAAGTGCCACAGTTTGTTCCTTTAGATCTGTAGATGGCATACTGTAGGTCTGCAGGGGATGATTATCAAATGCAATCTTAACTTGACATTGCATCTTAAGTTAAAGGTAAATTATTTTCTCCTGTTTGCTGCATGAATCTAAATTTGGATATGAAATTGAGATATTTTCTCACAGCCAAGTAGAAGATATCAATCTAAAAATAAAACCCCCATAAGTTGTTTTTTTTTTTGTTTTTTTTTAAAGAAATATAGATTATTGTTAAATACAAATTTGTCATGTGTTTTATAATATTTGGAGAAAACATTCACAGTTGGAATGATTTTGATGATAAGTCTTCAGATTTTGCGCCACTGTAGCTTTCTTTCACTTATTCCTTAAATATACCCAAACCTAATAGAGCTTTTGGGATCTATTTCGATCCTAATTGATCAGCAGTGATGAGCCAGTCTCTTGGATTTGACTAGAATCCCATTAGAACCAATCCTTCCTTTTGATAACAAATTAAGCTTTGTGTGAGGCTTATCAGATGACCTGTTTGCTAATGAGGCTGCTTGTGGGTTTTTAGAATTAGTTGGGTGGGGAAAAAAAGATTTGACTGTAATGTTAAGCTCTTATATTTTAATATATAGTGTCTCAACATGCTGCTTCAGTCGGCGCTCATGTGCCTATAAGGGTTTTCTGGTACTGAGTGGTGCTAAAGGTGTCTGTTACAAGCATAATTTTGTGAAATATCAAAAGATTATGTTGAAACTGTGCCAAAAAAGAGGAAGGGGACAGTCCTGATAACAATTAAAATAAAATAAAAAATGCAGTAGGTAATTACACAATGAAAATGTGCAATTACTTCTAAATTAATTACCTCTAAATTTCCTCTAGTTAACCGCATATAATTAGGCCAAATCTCTCAGGAGGAAGAGTTTTAACAGTAAAATTGCAACCAAAACTTGATCAAAATTTGCAACAATCTCAAATAAGAGGAGATGTAAAGAAGTGAAGTTCAGTTGAAGGACAAATGAAATGACAGACTTCCTGTTCAGCCTGCCTACCTGCGCCATATTTCTCCACTTGCCAATTTGATAAATCACTTCTTTGTTTCTCCTCTCCTCTTCACTCCTTTCACTTTACCAAAATGTTTCTTTTCAACCCCAAAGAAGAGGCCATTTATACCCTTGATTAAATTAGAAGTTTTTCATATTTGGAGTAAAAAGAGGCTTCAATTAAATGCTAATAATGTTTGTAGGATTATGTACAGTGTTTGAAATATATAAAATTATAGAAACATTGGTTTCCAGAAAAGCACCTTACAGCATGTTTGAAGCATGTTATCATTTTTAATTGCAAATTTTATGTGCAATATAAACTAGTAAAGAATCTCAGTGGTAAGTGAAATATTACAAACCAAAGATGTATTTAGTGTGAGGAAATATGCACAGTGACAAAGAACAGCACCTCAGATGAGTTTAAATGACCTCATCAGATAAGAAACTGTGGTAATGCATGTGGGAAAAGTTGGCTACACGGAAGTTGATTTAAAAAGAAGGAAAAAAAACTCCACTAGCTTTGGTCAGAAAATTAAAAGCGATTATGTTGTTAGCATTCAGCAGCTACCGTGAAACTTGTTGAATGCCAAATAGGTGAAATGTATGTCCAGTGTTGAAATAAAACAACAACTAAGATATGTTGCAAAGTTGGAAATTAAAGGGGGTAAAAGCAAAAAACAAACAAACAAAAACTCCTTCCCTGAAGAAATGTCGAAGAGACACGAGCATTAGTGACGCTAACCCAAAAAAAAATCATTGGGTCTTTAGCTTTGTGTTTTAACTCTAGGAGGCTTATCACCAGTGCGCAACATACTGTGCTGCTTGAAGGGTAAAGTGACAAATCATTCAGGAGTTAATCCACTCACTCATCGCGCTTCCTCTTTAAAAAGATATCCGCATTTTATCTTTGGCTTGTGTAACAGGGTTTTTGTTTTTCCTTATGGGATCCATGTTAAGCTACTTGTATTCTGTTCTGTCAATGTCATACAATACCATTTTGATTTTTTTTTAAATATGCTTAAAATCTATGTTGATATTATTATTATGAATATTATTATTATTATGAATATTATTATTATTATTATTATTACTATTACTATTACAACAATGTGGGGACTGTAACCCAATAAGAAGTTTGTGTTTCTGCACTGATATCTTATTAAAGCATACTGATCTTACCCTTATTCATCAACTATATGTGTGTATGTTTTATTTGGAGATAGATACTAATATACACGGAGTGCAGAATTATTAGGCAAATGAGTATTTTGTCCACATCATCCGCTTCATGCATGTTGTCTTACTCCAAGCTGTATAGGCTCGAAAGCCTACTACCAATTAAGCATATTAGGTGATGTGCATCTCTGTAATGAGAAGGGGTGTG